GATTTGTGTGGATTAACCAACAGATTTCCCCCATGTGATAACATCCTCCGTCATGGAAACCCTTTGAATGGTCTTGGGCAAGCCACACTTTCTCAACTTAAGAAGAAGGCAATGACAAAATTTTGCATAAATCTTACCAAGAAAATCCTGTGATAGACTTGCCATATGGTCAACAAAAGCAACTTGAAGGCACACACCAACAACAAATGAAAGCTGTGTCAACAAAAAGATATTTAGGCAGATTCTTTGGTCAAAAACTGCTCCACATGGCAAATCTCCATCAACAGTGTATTAGAACCAAACTTTGGTTGAGGAGATTTCATTATTCTAACACAAACCCCATTTTCCTCTCCCAGCAGCATTTCTGACTGCCACAATCAACAGCCATTTTCCCATTGTAAGCAATATAGAGAAGTTATGCCTCCTAAGAAGCATACTCCCTGGCAAGATTCCAGTGGGGTTACTTTGGAGCACAGCAAGGGCACCCTCTTTTGTAGTGCTCCTTCTTGGTTTGGGGATATTTCCTCCCCTTAGAAACCTGAGATTTTGATGCCCCTTCAGAGCTCCTTAGTGGGAGATGGGGTAGGACAGAGCCATCCAGGTGAGAGCCAGGTGGTAGGCCATCCATTGAATAGTACTGATAGACTGAGAACCAGTAAGGTTGATTACCAGTTTTCCTCTTCCTTCCTGATGCAGTTCTTTAACATTTTTTAAAAAGTCTGTGGTGTCCTTTACATAGCTGGGAGTATTGGTGACATATGGTTTAAGGATATTGTCCATATATTTGGAGGTGCCAACTGTAAGTGTTCCAATGCTGGAGACAATAGGTTGTCCAAGGTTGCCCTGTTTATGTATTGTATTATGCTGAGAACATGTTCTTATTTGTGTACTTGAATGTACTTACCTCTGACTTTATTCCTTATACAGCTCTAGCCATTCTCTGCTAATTAGCAGTGAAGAATATATAGCCCGCATAGATCCCACATCTTTTTCTATTGGTTACATATATCAGATCCCACATGTGAGAAATTTGCCTGCAGAGTGAAGTGGCATGCTCTAGTTGTTTGTAGGGTGTTTGGCACAAATAATAATCCTTTAATGGGATAATCATTTGTTGTTGTTGTTGCTGTGTACCTTCAAGAAGTGGTGTCACTAGGGTTGGTGTCATCCAATGCGGTAACTCATGGTGTCACCCCTCCCATTGACCTCCTTCCATACCACACCATACAGAATTCTTAGTAATGTTTTTTATAAATATTTACTGACAAATCATAATTCCCTTATATCACTGAATGTAGTTGTGACATATACAACAAACAAAACTAAGTTTATATCTTTAAATTACAATATCATACACACAGAATAAATGTGTTTACAATTACATAGATTTGTGGTTAAAGTAAAAATTTGGTAAAATGTGATGTTTGTAAAGAAAAATTAAAAAAATTAATTTTTTAAAAAATTAAAAATTGTAATTTGAAATTGTAATTTAAAATAAACCTCTGGGGCCTCTCTTTTCTCCTCCCACTGAGCCTCACCCCACTCACACCATCTCTTCAGTATTTTAAAGAGACACAGGCAAATGCCACAGCCTATTTCTGCCAAAATGCAGATGTCTGAGGAGCATGGTGTCACCCCCCCCCCAACTTAGGGTGTCACCTGGTGCAGTTTACATCCCCCACACCCCCAGTGATGCTACTGCCTTCAAGTCGTTTACGACTTATGGAGAACCTAAAGAAAATCCACATTAGGTTTTCTTAGCATGTTTCTTCAGAAGGGGGGGGGGTTTACCACTGCCATCCTCTGAGGCTGAAAGCATGACTTGCCCAGGGTCACCCAGTGGCTGAGCCAGGATTCAAACCCTGGTCTCCAGAGTCATAGTCCAATGCTCAAACCACTATGCCATCCTAGCATATCATTCCCTCGATCATTACCTCAATCCCAACCCTGTTTGAGCATACAATGTTCCTCCAGTTTCAAAGTGAATGCACTTCTTTTAGACCAGGGGTAGGCAACCTAAGGCCCGGGGGGTGGATGCGGCTCCCCGCAGCCTTTGGACCGGTCCCAGGCTGGTCCTGCCGCTGCTGCCATTGCCGCCTCCCCCCGCTGCTGCTGCCATAATGATATTGATTATTGTTATTACTTGTTCTTGGGGTTTTCTTGGCAAAATCTCCACAGGGGTTTTGCCATGGCTTTTCTGGGGCTGAGAGAGTGTGCATGCATATTTTTTTAAAAAAAATAAAAATATTTTTATTTTTATTTATTTATTTGTTTGTTTATTTTTGGTGCTTCGGCCCCCCCAGTTGTCTGAGGGACAGCAACCTGGCCCCCGGCTCAAAAAGGTTGCCTACCCCCGTTTTAGACACTTGAGGGCTTTAATGAGATTTTTTAAAAAGGAAATAAACCCCTTTTGTCTTCATTGTTTCTTTTTTTAAAAAATGTTTTTTAAATATGTGCCCTGTGCTACAAATTGGGATTGGGGTGGAACTGGGGGTAAATGGTTGGCAGGCAGGATGGTTGTTGGGTAATTACCTAAGGCAGGTGGTCACCTGATTATTTCTGCCACAGAAGAATATCTTCCTTCTTTGCATCCATGTCTTCCAAGTGTGATGTCACCATTTTTTAAAGTTCAGGGTTTGTATATGGATATCTGCATACCAAGTGTAGTGTACCTTTGCAAATCAGCTTTTAAACTCACCTTATAGAATGGCAGATGCCCTTTTGAGCTGAGGAATAAGAGGGAAAGATGTCCTGTGGAGCATGGAAGAAACTTGTCATTTGCAGTAAGGCAAAAACTGACAGCAACAAATCCAGTGTGGTCTTAATTTCAATCCCACAATAAGAGACAGTGAATGTGAGCAGAGATGATTACATTATATTATGACTACGCCATTACAGGGGACAGGGGGAGCACATGTGGGGGCTAAGGTAATGCACTGCCCAGGTATAGTCCTGTAAACTTCTCAGCTATACACACCATCCAATGGTAATGCAAGTGAGTGGTAAGAACAATGGGAAGACAAGAAAGGCTATTGGTTTATTGGTAGGAAAAATCTAATTAGGGGGATTTATAGTTAGCTCAAATATGCAAGAGTGGGGCCCTAACAACACCTCGCGAGACTGGAATACCAATGTGTATACCAGAGGACTTAGAGATCCCACAATGGATGACGCTGTCCGGGAATGCTGCCAGCACACGTGCAAACACGGCTGATAAGAGCGGCTCGGCAAAGACAAGGCCGAGCTGCCAGCAGGCAGTCTCCAAATAACAGACCTGTCCTCCGTCCGAATAGAATAAGCCACAAGGCACTCCAGGTTCAAGATTCTAGAGGTCAACAAGTACAAGTTCAGTCTGAGATCAAAGATTCCAGAGAGTTGGTCGACGAGTCCGCCGAGGGAAGCCTCCCTGGGGGGACCCTCAGTGGCACTGGGCTTCCGGGAGGCCCGTCGCCGCCGAGGGAAGCCTCCCCGTGTGCACCCTCCACTGATGCGCGTGACCCCCCGCACATGTGGCTGCAGCGGCAGCATGTGCGGGGGGTTGCGTGCGTCAGTGGAGCGCACGCACGCAAGTGTGCACGGCCCAGCCAAGACCTGGGCTACAGGAGACCGGCCCAGGTCTCAAAAAGGTTGCCTACCCCTGGTCTAGATATTTATTATTGGGGAAAAGTGCACACACACAAATATAACACACGCACTCACACTGTACACTTAAGTAAAGGAGTGAAAGCGGGAATAGACTGAGATGGGCCAGACTACAGGAGATACTTCCGAAGGCTTCTCTGGGATCCACTGTGGATGTGGATGATGGTAATGATGATACACAGCCGCCAAAATGAGGGAAAGGATGGCTGAGGAAGCTATGATCAGAGCACAGAGTGATGTGGAGTCAAGATGCACTCTAAGGATAGCATGTGGAGTCTAAAGATCTAGGGGTTTATATCTGGTTTCTAGCTAAAGACTTGATGACTTGGCTGAAGCCTGGACAAAGGCACTGATTGACTTGGCTTTGTTAAACCCAGGTGTGAGGATGACCTAAACAATGTACTTGGGTCTTGACACAATCAAGGAGGGGAGGCTAGAGAGAAAAGGGTGCAGTTAAATCTAATCACTGCCCCATCAGGAGTATGGGCCTTTACAGACTGCCAGAAATAATGCAACTTGAGGCCTGTTCTAAGCATGACTAGTTCTGAATGCAATTCCCTGTTTCTTAGCACTGTTTTTGTGTTGGAGCAAGACTAGTTTTAAAACTGTCCCAGTCTTTGCATTAATATTCTGTGAAATGTGCTAGTGACTTACCATAACACAGAGCCAGCATGGTGTAGTGGTTTGAGAGTTGGCCTAGGATACTGGGAGACCAGGGTTCAAATAATCACTTGGCCATGGAAACTCACTGAGTGACCTTGGGCAAATCACACTCTCTCAACTCCACAGGAAGCCAAGGGCAAAGCCTTTCTGAACAAATTCTGCCAAGAACACCCCATGATAGGTTCACCTTAGGGTTGCCATAAGTCAAAGATGACTTGAAGGCACTCAGCAGCATACAAGAATTACAAATGTATATGCAGGTAGTTTTTGTTAGAAGACATTGATACATTGTTCTTTTTTTTTTAAAAAAAAAATCAAAATTATTGACTTTTTTATTTTATGCAGACAACTCATCATTTTTAAAGACTTCTCTAAAACACAATAATAAGGCATTGGCTGTGGCCCTCAGCACAGAGAAAGAAAATTCTCAGCGACTCAGAAAAGAAAAGCTGATATTGCAGGAAGAAGTGGAGGAACTACGCTTGCAGAATGTCTTACTTCGCCAAAAGCTACACTGTCTGGTAAACAGTATTGTGAGAGCTAATGGGGAGCTATTATGCAGAAAAGGTTCAGGTTTCCAACAGAAGTATTTTATTGTTTTCAGATCAGTATTAACTTCTTCTCTGACCACCATAAAACACATGTATGCTGATAATTTACTAAGTAATCCTCTACTACCGGTAAGTAGAAATTCTACCAGTGAAGATGCATTGGTGGAACAGCTGGAACCAACTGGAATCATAGAGGGAACTGGTGTGGCACAGAATAGCACACTTATACCATATCCTATATCCCTGCAATGCATGGTCTTGCTTCTTGAAACAGGACATCTTTACACTCACTGAATTCAAAGCAAGGGGGAAATTTTTAAGAAATAGTCACAAGTTCTCTTATAGCCACCTTACGCACACACCATGTTTATCTTGAAGCCAGGTGACTGGCTATTTAAGGATTCATACTTTGACACTTAATAGAGTGTGAGAGATACACAGAAGACTTGGTTCACCACCAGATGTTGTTAGAACATGATGTTCAGTTAGAGCTTTCCATGTAAAGGAGTCATTATTGGTTATTATTTATTGCACTTATATCCCACCTTTCTCCCAGAATGAGATCCAAAGTGGCTTACAATAGTTTAAAAAACAAAGACAGTTAAAACAATGATTACATGGTAAGGTCTTAAATTTTTAATATTTTAATGAAACTATGGGCCTTTGCAGACTGCCAGAAATAGTGCACATTAAATTGAGGCACTGCCCTGGCTCAGTGCTAGGGAGTCATGGGAACTGTAATTTATTGTGGCACCAGAGCTCTCTGACAGAGAAGGCTCCATGTCTCAGAAAAAAATACAATTCCCATGACTCCCTAGCACTGAGCCAGGGCAGTGCCTCAATTTAATGTGCACTATTTCTGGCAGTCTGCAAAGGCCCTATGTTGTAAACATGTTTTAAGTGCTTTTAACTGTTTAACCATGTTTTTAATAATACCGATATTTAATTCTCCTTTAACTTTTGTAATCATTCTTTTAACTGTCTTTGTTTTTTAAACAATTGTAAACCAGACAGTATGTAATCAAGGCTTATGTCACTGTAGCCAAATCTGACTTCTCAAGGAATGCGCACAACTGGTGCACTAGTTTAACTGTGCAAATGCACTCCTGGACACTGCTGAGACCTGGGCAACCAGGCTCAGATCTGAGTCCAAGAGCACACCCAAGCTGCAGACCCGAAGTTTCAGGAAAAAGTGTAACCCCATCCAGCACAGGCTGAATCCCTATTCTCTGATCTGCCTATGGACTGAGGAGGAGCACCTCTGTCTTGTCTGGATTAAGTTTCAATTTGTTCACCCTCGTCCAATCCATTAATCACAGGAGACACTGGTTTAGTGAAGAAACAGCGTCCTTGAAATTGGATGGAAAGGAGAGGCAGAGTTGTGTGTCATCAGCATACTGATGACACTAAACCCCAAAACTCCAGATGACCTCTTTCAGTGCTTTCATTTATATGTTAAATAGCATGGGAGAAAGTGTCCAGGAAGTGTCCACCCAGTTAACCCCTCTAAGAAAGATCAGAGCCATTGTAAAACAGTGTCCCCAAGCCCTATCTCAGAGAGGCAACCCAGCAGGATACCATGGCTGATCATACTGAAAGTTGCTGAATCAACAGGGATACACTCCCCTGCATAGCTCCCAGCATAGGTCATCTGCCAAGGGGACTAAAGCTATCTCTGTCCCATAGCCAGGCCTGAAGCCAGATTGAAATGGATCTAGATAATCCATTTCATTCAGAAATACCTGGACCTGGAAGGCCATCCAGCCCCTTGGCCAAAAAGAGGATATTGGAGACTAGTCTATTGTTCTCCAATATGGTGGGATCCAGGGAAGATTTGTTTTAATATTGGTCTCACCACAGCCTTTCTAGGCAAGATAGAAACCTGTTTGGCTGTAATGAGGCATTCAGTATTTCTCATACCCCAAAATGCCAGCCCCTCTTGGGCTGCTTTCACCAGCCAGGAAGGGCAAAGATCCAATATGCATGTGATGGCTGTCACCTCTCCAAGGATCCTGTCTACCTCCTCAGGCTGCACAAATTGAATATATATTCAATA